CAAATCAATTGGATATCATGTATTTTTTTTTTACAATTGAAAACAAATTTCATTTATCCACTGGCCTAAATACCAGACAGGTTATAAAATTTCCAAAACTCTCTGGTTCCACCTCATTTGTTTTATGTTCTTTGTTTGAAAATCTTCAAAATGTAAACTGAGATCCATGCAACCATGTGGAAATATAAATATTATGGTTTAATAAGGATAAAATTAGAGGAACTCAAACTGTTGGCTAATTTAAATGATTTTTATAAAATCTCTATGCTAAAAATTATACATTTAGCAATAAGAACATCATTTATCAACGTTTCCTAGAGTTACAGTTTTAAAACCAAGCCTGTGGTTCCTTTTGTATCAGTCCACTTGCCTGATGGGGGTGACGTGCGCGGTGTTTTCTCTCCTATCAGAATTTCCTCAGGGGTTCACAGATGGGAAGCAGACCAGTTTCTTTATCTTATTAATAGGTTTAGATTTCTGTTATGTCAAGGTGCCAGTTAATGTCCTCGAAGATAACATGCACAAAAATATCATAAACTGTGTCTCACTTTTGAGATGAAAAAGGGAGTCAAACTCAGATACCTTAGAATTCTGACTCATTTTCCAGATCAGAATTGGGTGAATTTGGGGAATTTGCCTCCCAACGCAGGAACATAGGAATTCTTCTTCAATTAATTTTGTTCTATTCCTTTCCCCCTCTGATAAATCTTATGAGCTTATCCTTCCCTTCACTCCCACTGTTGTCAAGGTGAGAACTTGGCCTACCCTTGGCCCACCTTTGCAGAGAACTTCCTGTGATCCTCAAGCTTGGCTTGTCTCAAGCTCAGAGTTCGGTTCTCCTCTTGTGTCCTTGGCCTTTACATTTCCTGGTTGCAAAACTTTTTATTTCACAGATGTTGAGCCGAAGGCTGCCAATGTACACACCATCCAGGACACTCAGATGCTACTGTAATTCTTTCATAACAGGAGTGAGTTATTCTTACTGGGGTGAGAAAGAGACAAGGGAGGTGATTCATTTTCCTTGGACAGGCTTTCTTTCACTCTAATAACCACCCAACCCATGGGTGGAGGCTTGATCGATGGCTGCTTCCTTTTTTGTTGAGCTCAAACATCAAATTAGTGGTCTGTCCATAGTTTGTGAAAAAGCAAACTGATAACAACTGTGCTCCCCAACCCCCTTCCCTACAATATTTTGAAACCACCTCCAAAACCCAGACAAGACTTCTCTCTCATCAAGTACCCAAAGCAGGTATATGTTTCTAGAGGTAGCAGGGGCATCAGGACAATTCTTAGTAAGCCTGTTGTTTCTTCTAATTCCAGTACCTTCTTCTCCAACCCACACCAAAGCAGCTAACAATATTAAAACATCAAGAATGATCAAGCAAGCATATTAATGAATAATATTGATTTATTCATTGGCTGTTTTTTAATGGGTAGAAAAGGCTAATAAAGGCTCTACCCCAACCAAAAGAAAAACACAAGTCATCTTCCTCAGCAGCAAAAATTGGAAATTTTGTGTATGTGTATGTGTTTTTGTTAGCTGGCAGATTTGTTCTAAGAAACTATTTGCAAAGCCTGGAAAAATGTGCTCCCTCTGTCCCTTAAAAGAACACGCAATTTGGTTCAATCAGTCATCTGTGTGACAATTCTGACTGGTGATCTTTTAAAACATGCAGCCCTGTCAAGATTTGGCATCAAAATGATATCTTTAAACTTGAGTTTTTGTTCTTTTACAAAACCAAATATTGAAATGTATGCTTTCTTTTCATTTGGGGAGGCTTTCCTTAAAATTTGTTGTTGTAGGGAGAAGAAAGGATATTTGCGGGAGGTACTTTTTAGCATTCTTTTATTACTTTTATCTGTCACAGCCTCTTTAAAAGGTGTTATTTAATTTGGTTCATAGAATCAAAATAGTACCCTCCAAATTATTTATTTACGTTTTTTAAAATTCTCAGTTTTCATGCTTAGTTGTAGGTTGGATTGACTCCAAAGAGGCTATTTTTGATATTAAGACTGTTGTTCTATGGGTAGTCATTATATTGTATTCCTTAGTCCAGGAGAATAACCTTGAGAATTAGTTAAAAGGAAGAAATTTTACAAGGTAAAGTCATTTTTAAAGGAAATTGTATGTTCAACTCTCACTGAATACCTGACATATAATTTTTAAATGTATTAATTATTTCTTGCTGTGTAACAAAAACTTTTGCAGCTTAGAACAGCTGCAACAATTACCTCACAGTTTCCGTGAGCTACCCAGGTGTGGCTCAGCTGGGTGCCTCTGACTCAAAAGGCCACAGTCAAGACGTCAGCCAAGGCTGTGATGACCCCAAGGGTCAACTAGAGGAGGATTTGCTTTCAAGCTTACTCACATGGTTGTTGACAAGATTCGGTTCCTTTTGGACTGTTGGGCTAAGGACAGCTAGTTAGTTCCTTACTAGCTGTTGGCAAGAGGCCTCCTTAAATTCCTTGCTATATTAGTCTCCCCATAGGGAAGCTCATAACATGCTAGTTGGCTTCTTCAAAAGAAAAAAAGAAAGAGAACGAGATTAGAAGTCAGAATCTTTTTAAATCCTATGAGTATTAGGAGGTGGGATCACTGGGAGACATCTTAGAAGCTGCAACCACAGTTCTTAACCAAGCTGTATAAATTTGGGGTGCTCCAGTCGTGTGAACTTGAAGGAGTATGGGGAGTTAAGAGAGTGAGTCAAGGAAGTGGGATTACATCTGTGGATGCTGAGGACAAGGCTCTCTATGGAGGTTTAACAGCCTGGTATGTTTCTAGGTTGTCTGCAATATTTACTCCCTAATAGAAAAATAAATGCTTCTTGACAGATTCTCAGTGGTGAAAAGTGAACCTATACCTTCCCCTCGCTAACCCATACTCCAAAGAAACAAATTTACAGTGCAGTGGAAATTTTTTTCACCTGTGTTAAAGCACATTTGCCAAGTTTTCTTAGATTCCAAGTAATAGAAGAAAACCCTAAACTGTACATACTAAGGAATGGGATCATTTATTCCCTTGCTCAGCACCCTAGCACCTTACCCGCCCCACTCCCTATAACACCCTATGTTCACCTCCCAAGTATCTATAAATGTATATGCACTTATAAAGCCTATATAAAGTCCTTTGAGGGAGCCGTGCCTGGTGTGGTTCAGTAGATTGACTGCCAGCCTGCGAACCAAAGGGTTGCCTGTTTGATTCCTAGTCAGGGCACATGCCTGGGTTGCAGGCCAGGTCCCCAGTAGAGGATGTATGAGAGGCAACCACTCATTGATGTTTCTCTCCTTCTCTTTCTCTCCCCCTTCTCCTTTCTAAAAATAAATAAAATCTGAAAGAAAGAAAGAAAGAAAGAAAGAAAGAAAGAAAGAAAGACCCTTTAAAAATGAAAAATTAAAAAAAAAAGGCCTCTGAGTGAAATGGAAAAGGTAGCTATGGAAAGGTAAGTTTTGCAGAATATCTGACTGTGTATTGCTAAAGTAGTTCCAGTCTCTGCCCATGTAGAATAAAATACATTCCTTTTACATATTTTCTAGTCACCAAAAAATCCAACTGAAAAAGGGTTCTAATAAAACAAATTCAATCTATTTAACAAATTCTGAGTCTTTCCTATGTGGGAATCACAAGGAATACCCAGATAGCTTAGGCCTTAAAACCACATCATGGGTTCCATGAAGATAGCTGGGAATTGGAAGAAAGGCAGTTATCCAGAGAACCTTTCAACTACTTTATTAGTGTCAAGTTTTTAAAAGTTTTAGAAAAAATTGTGGTGTAAAATAATTTGAGTTTGGGTACCTTCTCATCTCCCTTGCTTTGTCACTCTCCTTGACGCCCTAAGCATCCACATCTTCCCCAGATCAGTGCCTCATAATTAGTAATTACGTCATCCTCCTTTAATCCCCCTTCTCCACTCACACCTACAGTCCGTAAATCCATCCTCTGTGTAAGAAGGAAAGGAACTGAGTAGACTAATTCATACTGATGAGAGTGAGTGATATATAAAACACTTAATACATTATATCTGCAGTGTTTCGAAAGAATACTCAGTAACATGAATCTCTTAATTCATAAAATGTCAGTTCAAAAATGTATGGTTTAATTCATTTTTTCAATTACAATTTATATTCAACCAAGTATGGTTTTTTAAAAAGTGTCAAACAAAGTTAGAGATTTTTTTTTTCTTAAATTAGTCAGTTTTCCCCAGCAGGTTTCAAATATTTATGATTTTGTGATTATTTTCCATGGAAATCTAATCCAGATAAGGCCTAAGATTGTAAACAGCCCAACTTTCCTTTAGGATCTTTTGCTATTGAAAAGTAATTGGGCCCTGGCTGGTGTGGCTCAGTGGACTGAGTGCAGGCCTGCAAGCGGAAAGATCACCAGTTTGATTCCCAGTCAGGGCACATGCCTGGGTTGTTGCCCAGCTGGGGGCGTGTGAGAGGCAGCAGATCAATATATCTCTCACACTTTGACGTTTCTTTCCTTCTCTTTCTCCCTTGCCCTCTCTCTCTTAAAAAAAAAAAAAAAGTAAATTAATAAAATCTTTACAAAAATATTTTAAAAAATAAAAGTAGCTGGACTTTTCTTAAACAAGTGAGTTTTGAGGAGTGTTCAGGTGCTTTTACTTGTTTCTAAAAGGGAATATTTTCTTTGCCCCAGCTTATAAGGTGCTGCTTTTTTAAAAGGAAGAAAGCTAATTTTCCAAGCCCTTTCTTAAGAGGATTAATGGGAATTGATGTGATAGAAAAGGAACTCTGCAAATATAGAATAGGTGAGCTTTTAATCCATGTTTGAAACAAATTATTAGTAGTAATAATAGCTGTTCAATATAAAGACACCATGTCTGGTGTTCAAATTGTAGTTCATCAGTTGAGAAAGAATAAATTGTTTTTCCCTTCAAAATCTTTTAAACTCGTGCAAAAACAATATGAGAGTTTGCTGGCCTCCTATTTGTTTTTCTCCCTCATTTGAGTGCATTTTTTAAAACCATAACATGACTATATAGAGAGAGAATATTTAGTCATTTATTGTAGTGCTTCTAAACAATTTGGTAACATTTAGTCTCTGTCTACTTAATTGCATTTGCTTTTTGTAGGGGCGGGGTAGAGCACCCCAGTGTTCAGAATACAGTACCAGCATTTATACAAAACATTGCAGCCTAGCCCACAGAGTATGGAGGTTACTACGGGGCAAGCTACTGCTTGTGACTGGCTCCCACCCCCACCCCTGCCCCCCAGTTCCTCCTTCTAATCTCTTGTCATTTCCCAGGACAGGCAACCTTGTGTGGACTCAGACTTGGGCCCTAGACAGGATTCGTGCTTCATTTTTCTTGCTCTGATTTCTGAAGTTGGAATGTCCTCTTCACCCTACACATCAAGGGATTTCTTTTCGTTTCCAGTTTTCACTGATTCCTTTGTGGATTTGTGCTTTGATTTAACCTAAGGTATTAGAAATAAACACAAATTGTGGCATTAGACCATGGACTGACAAGACAGGATAGGGCTAGTGTTATATTTTTATAAACCTTCTCATTCTAAAAGGTATCTGAAGCAGCTTATGCAGATTGTAAAAAGGCATAAAATTGCTGGGTGAAAGGAAAATAAGGAGAGGGAAATCAGTCTAAACCTGGATAAGGTTAATACTCAGAATATATCTTCAGGTCCTTGTCAATACCTTAAAAAGTCAGTTGCAAATATGACTTGGAGCTTCCTGGCAGCAAGAAAGCAACAGGAAACACAACAAACTACAAGGTTCATATGTGTGCCAAATTAAAAACAAGCCAGGGATCAGTGCTTCTCAAACTTCAACATGCATTTGTATCGCCCATGGTGTTAAAAGGCAAGTTCTGGTTCAGCAGGTCAATGGTGCGTCCTAACTGACCCCCAGGTGCCACTGATGCTGATGCAGCACCCCCCACACCATTCTTTGAGTAACAAGGTCTTAGCTCATTGTAAGTGTGCATTTACAAGGTATGCCCCCACTTAAAATACATAGCCATATTTGGTTTGCAGGGATCCTAGGTAATTACAGAATATACCAAATATGGAGCTCTAAGACTTCTAACTAATTTGCACTTGATGTATTTAAAACATCCAAACTTCTATCTAACACTGAAGGACAGTAATTATTCTCATCTTCTAATTAAACTGTTATTTCAAACCTTTTTTTTTTAAAAAAAAAAACACCTTTAAAAGAAAATAGTTTGGGGAAACTTTTTTTTTGCCCTTGTAAACAATACAATAAAAGACCGCATTATAATAATGTTCTGGCGAATCCGATTGTCGACCAAAGATACTGTTTACTGTTGTTCTTAGAAATAGCAGTGGTTATGGGCACTGGGTCTAGTGTGAGCTTCAGAGCAACCAGATTTGGATTGCACCATGCTACCTGTGTCACCTCGGGCAAGTCACGCGTTCTCTCTGTACCTCAGTTCTATCGTCTACCTAATGGGGCTAATGGTAGAATCTGTTACAGGTACTACTAGTTACTATTAGAATAGTGCCTACCCATTGTGAGAATTAAATAATGTTGGCTATTTGTTGTCATTACATTTAAAGTAAATTTTCCTGGCAGTGAATGTGAATGATAAATACAACTACCTCCTCAGCTGCTCCTTTTGCATAAGTACCTTAAAAGAATAGACCTAGATTTGCAATTTTCTTTGCAAGCCTTGACTAAAACACACCAAATCAGTGTAAGATGTTGTTGATATTAAGAGGCATTTTAATTTCGTTCATTGGAATCTAAGTCTGCAGCCAACAAATTATTGGAGGGAGTAAGAGGCACCAACCTTTTCCCGGAGTTTTTTAATGAGGGTATCTCGTTTGTGCAGTTGATTTTGCTGCATTTTCACTTCAGCAAATAGTTCATCAATTCTTTGGTTCTGTCTTTGCACAGAGGGCTAGAGAAGGAGAGTTTTAAAACACAATTTAAGGAAAAGAAATTAGTTTGAAATTGCCAAAATAGGTAGGTGCGCTTTCTCTGTATCAAGCTGTGTTAGCAGTTGCAGCAACAGAACAAGGTACTGATTTCCTAGCCCATCTGCTCAACCCTGTGCATATTGCCCGTGGTCAGCTAAAAACCATCACTCGTGTCTCAAGCTACAAGAAAACTAATAAAATAGAAAAAACAATTTCTTGGTATTTTATCCTTTCCCTTTCTGATATCTATATCCAAGAAAATTTTAAGGTCTCCCTAAACCCCAAAGCACTGACCATGTCATTTAAAATGCACCCACTTCCTCATTTGTTATAATACTTTACATATAAGTTTATAACAGTCTGTAAAGTTGTGGGGGGATTTTCATCTGTAGGTGAAATTCAGTAGAGTTGTTTTTAATTAATTGTGAAAATGTTGGATTTGTTAAGCATTTAATTTAAAATTCATTGATTTTGGTTTTGAGCTTTTACTTTTTGGATTTTGGAGTTGATTAATTTTGGACATTTCAAATGTGTTCGTGGGGTCATAAAATGTCCATAGACCGTAGGCTCTGTGTTGGTTATCCCGAGAGAAACACGGTCGTGCTCACAACCCAGTCCCAGCTCCGAGTGGGAACTCGGCGAACACTTGCAAAGCTGTGACGAACTGAATTTTAGTGACTAGATGGACCTGGAGGAGTGTCCCCTCAGGAAGAGCATTTTGTTATCCTCTGAGGGGCTGTGAGAGAGAGCGGGGAGAGGGCATATCCGAGAAAAAAAGAGACTGCAGTAGACAGATGGAGAGGCAGAGTAGACACAACACAGGTTAGAGACAGACGGGCAGACACGGAGAGACAGAGACAGAAGGAGACGAAAAGGTGGGGAGAGAAACCCAAGACATTGATGGATTTCCTAAGTAACACACAAGGGGAGACCCCTGCAAACCCCAGAATTTATTTACAGAAACTCGTGTATTTATTCTTACATGTTTAAACTTTAGTCACCTTCCACGTACTCTCCACTTGATGCAATATACCCACTGAGACATTTTTTCCACTGCTCAAAGCATTTTTTGAACTTGTCATTTTGATGCCTTTTCATATTTCTGCCATTTTTTTGTTTCTTCTCTCCCATTTCAGCAAAATATTTCCCTTTATAGACTTTTTTCATCCAGGGAAACAAAAAAAGTTGCTTGGGATGAGATTGGGTGACTAGGGAGGGTGGGGCACAGGGGTCATGCCGTTTTGGTAAAAAACTGTTAAATACTCAGTGCAGGGTAGGTAGGTACTCTGGTAAATCACCCATCATAAAATGGGCAAATGCACTGAAAGAGTCCTGAAAAAATTTGTGGAAGCTGAACCCAGCCTCTCACAACAGCACCAGCTGGTACACAGATACAGATGGAGTCCTACAACACTCACCTAGCCAGGGAAGCCTGTACTACAAGGGGCCCACCCTCCCAAAGATACTAACAGGCTTTTTTTTTTTTTGTTCCCTCTTGTATATTAAGATCTTATAGTCCTGCAGAATGTTTAGAATTGTATTTTAAAGTTCACTCAGCTGTTTTACACAGTCCTGATAAGCAGATAATCCTCCTTTGTGTCATATTTTGCACTTTATAGCAAAGCACTTATCAGGTATCATTGAATTGAAACTTAATCCCAATCTTTTTATTGCAGGTGAGGAAATTGACTTGTCCACCTTACATTTGTGGAGCATTTTGTAATTTTTTAAAGGACTGTTCCACCCATTATCTATTTGGTGAGGGCCACTGACCACAGCTCTCCATACAGCCCATCTTCCCTGGTATATCAGCAGCTTACATTGTGGGCATTACTGATATTTGGAAGACAGTGGAGATACCACAGGCCACAAAATCAGCAATTTTTTAATTTTGTTTTTAAAGAGTACATATTTGATATTAGTACCTTGTTACAGCTTCTGTACTGAAATAAGAGAAAGAAAACCAAAATTAACACCAATTCCATTTCAAAATCAAACCTATTCTTTTCATTTCCTCATATCATCATCTTAGCCCTGACCCTTCATGCATATTCAGGTTTTGAATATTTACAGCCTTGTCATAGATAACATTTTATATTCTGAATTTTCACTCAACATGATGCAATGAGTACAAACCATTTAATTCACTCCAGTCTCACTTTCAAAGAGGGACATAGGAAGCACCAAGGATTGTTTGACTTTGAACAACCAGTTAATCCTTTGGCTCTCGTTGGGAACCCCAAGGCTCTGTCAGTAAAATATTCTCAGAGAATAGAAAGCTGCCTTTTTGCTTTATGACATGGCTGAGTGTTCTTCCACCCACTCCTTGGGAGTGACTGACACAAATTTCTTTGATTCAAAACATGGTGTAGGTTGCCATTACCAACAATGGAAGATAAATAAGCATTTGCATCACATAGGGTTAATCTGCACCACCTCTCTCCTTGACCAGGCTTTCTCATAGCAGAAGTAACTCCTGTCGTGATCTTACTTTGGGGTCTGTTTTACAAGAGAATGGTATTTCTATTTAAAATAGTAATAACAGTATTAAAAAATATTTCATTTCCAATAAAGTAACAGTTGACTAAAATGATCACTAATGGTCTACTCACCATGATGTCGTCCATCACCTGTGTGAGAGAGGGCCCATCTGCCTTGAAGAGCACAGCATCCTCCATCTTCCGCTCCAGCAGTTCCAGCCTCTCACTGAATTTCTCTCTGTACTGTATCCCCACCGCCAGCTGATGCTGGAGCTCAGCAACCAGCTGCCGGAGGCCTTCATTCCTCGTGTCGAGCTGCTCAGCTCTCCTCTCCAGGTCTTCGCCCTTTCTCTCCTGCTGGCTAACTTGAGTTAGAAGCTCAGCTAAAGAGGTGTTCAGAGTGTCCAGTTGTTTAACCAGGCGACCAGTGTGATTTTTGTTGTAGCTCACTTGCATCTTGAGCTCCATTCCAAGCTGTAGAAGCCCCTGGGAGAGAACATTGATGTCATCTTGGGAATGAGTGACAGGAGCATGGCATTCTCTTTGTTTCCTTGCACTGGATAAAGAATAGGCTAAACTGAGGAGGAACCAAACTGATGCTTTTTGCATTTTGGCTTTGAAAGATTTCAAGGTCCCTTGGGATAACCTGTTTTCAGCAAAGAAAATAGAAGACTATCCCAAGACAGTAAAGAACAGAAACAGTTTGGTCAACGACTTGATTTAAGAATGATTAAATCCCACCAGTTAACCTCTGACTTCCTGGAGTTGCTAAATCACAGCAGGATATAAATTAGTTAAGAGGCTTTTGCTGAATCAGTGGAAAGAATGTGGAGTTTCCAAAACAGCTTGTAACCGAGAGAAGCCATCTGAAGTAGCTCTGAGAAGAACATTGTTGATGAATACCAAATGTTCCATTCTGTGTTGCCATGCATATGACTGAAGAAAACCATGGGGGACAATGAGAGTGTACTAACTGCCTTGCATGACACTGGACCTATAGTTACTAAAGAAGCTTTCAAAATAATTTTGCTATACCAAGCAATTCCTGTTTTGGTTATGGGCTATCCTCTCAAATTCTTAGAGTTTTCTCTAGCTAATGTGAGACCTTGATTTACCACATATAAAATATATGAGCCTATTCATCAGTTTGTTAATAATTACTTTTAGCTGGTTTAGGCTCTGTGGATTATGGCCCATGAAGGCAGATATCTACCCTCCCAATAGAAAATATTATATTTTTTTATATTCATGTCTTTAAAAGCCTGCAGATCTAACAAAACATGTCAATTAGCATATTTGCCATTCAGAAATACAATGTTTCTTGGGAAATGCATCTTCCTAAAAAAAGTATTTAGGCCAAGTTATTTAACCTCCCTGGGAGTCAGTCTCCCAGCCTGCAGAAAGGGATGTTGGACAAAATTCTCTCAACATTTCCCTCAGCTCTGTACTTGGAGGAAAGTGTATTTAGTACCGGGAAGGACGCTGAATGCTGGTGACATTTTTTGAACTTGGGGTCAGCAGCCCTTTCGGAAGCAATGTGCAAAATTGTCACCATTGTTGGGGGATGTGTGAAATGGGTAGCTGGTGCCCTGGCATTGGGCTGCAAGAGAGGAGTTCTGTGGCAGCTGACTTGCTTAACCAGTCTGGCAGGGCTACTGCTGTTGTGATTTACATGGTCCCTTTCATCTAGCTACTTCAAAGCATTTGTACCAACTCTGGCTCATTATTTCTTCAAGCGCAGCATAAAGAAAGGTTGATTAGTGGTGTCTTTTCAATTAATTCAAAGATGAAGAGCTATGTAGAATTAAATGGGATTCTTCCCAAAGTATACTACATTGCAGAAGGGCAAGAGATGCATATATACAAAGTGTTTATCACAGCTTTATAATTTGTTTCGAATGAAATCATCTAAATGCTTATTTTGGAAACTAGTATAAATTATGGCACATTTATAGTAGGAGATATCATGCAGCCATTAAAATCATGGTTATTAAAAATATTTGCTCTCACCCTGGCTGGTGCCGCTCAGTTGGTTGGAGCATCATCCTGTAAGCTGGAAGGTCTGAGTTTGATTCCCGGCCAGGGCACATGCCTAGGTTGCAGGTTTGGTTCCCCAGTCAGGGTGTGTATAAGACGCAGCTGATCAGTGCTTCTCTCTCACATCCATGTTTCTCTCCTCTCCCTCTCCCTCCATTCCCTTCTCTCTATAATCAATAAGCATGTTCTTAGGTAAGGATTAAAAAAAGGAATATTTGCTCTTTACATAAGTGGCCTGAGATGACCTCTGAATGGTTTGCTATTCACTTGACCCAGAAAACCCCACAAAATCATACAAATCAAGAGGTTCAAATCTTTGTGTTCACTTTAAGAACACTTGTGAAACTGCCCAGGCCATCAAGGGTATGCATATCCAAAAAATCACCAAGTATCTGAAAGATGTCACTTTGAAGAAGCAATGTGTGCCATTCCATCCATACAATGGAGTTGGTTAAGTGTGCCCAGGCCAAACAGTGGGGCTGGACATGGTGCCAATGACCCAAAAAGTGTGCTGAATTTTTGCTGCACATGCTTAGAAATGCAGAGATTGATGCTGAAATTCAGGGTTAAGATGTGGATTCTCTTGTCATTGAGCATATTCAGGTGAACAAAGGTCCCAAGATGTGGTGCAGAATTTACAGAGCTCATGGACATATTAACCTGTACATCTCTCCCTGCCACACTGAGTTGATCATACTGAACAAGAGCAGGTCAATGACATAGCAATTCTACTTCTAGGAGTATATCCAAAGAAGCCCAGAGCACTGATCTAAAAGAATATATGCAGCCCTATGTTCATGCAGTATTATTTCCATTAGCCAGTATTTGGAAGCAGTCCAAGTGCCCATCAGTAGATGAGTGGATAAAAATGCTGTGGTACATTTTTACTACTCAGTAACTTTTTACTACTTTTTACTACTCAGCTGTAAAAAAAAAAAAAGAGAAAAGAAGGAAATCTTACCTTTTGCAACAGCATGAATGGACCTGGAAAGTATCATCCTAAGTAAAATAAGCAGTCAGAGAAAGACAAATACCATATGATTTCATTTATATATGGAATCTAGTGAACAAAATAAACTAACAAACAACACAGAAATGGAGTCACAGATACAGAGAACAGACTGACAGCTGTCAGAGGGTAGGGTGTTGGGGGGCTAGACACAGACAACAGTATGGAGATTACAGGAGGGAGGTTGTCTCTCACACATGCTCTGACTGGAGACCAAACCCCACAACCCACGCATGTGCCCTGACTGGGAATTGAACCAGAGACCTTTTGCTTTGAGGAATGACACCCAACCAACTGAGCCACATGGGTGAGGGTGCCAGTTTATTCTTTCTTTTCTGTACTTGCCAAGTATTCGATTTTTTTAATGGGTACATATTATTTTTATAACCACATATTACTTTCATCATCACATGTATTTATACTGATCTTATCATTATAAAAGAGAGAGAGAGAATGTGTGTGAGTAGAATGAACTGATTAAATAGGATGATAGGAAAGACCTCTTCTAGTAATAACATGTGTGCTAAAACCCAAGCAATGAGAAGGAATCAGTCACAGCAAACTGAGAAAAAAAATTCTAGTAGAAAGAGCAGAGGGCACAAAGTGAGAAGAAATTCGGAATGTTTTAGACCTTCAGAAAGGCCACTGTGGGAAAATGATGAATGGTAAAATCAGAGAAATTGCCAAAGGCCAGAGCATATAGGCCCATGATATGAAATTTGGGAAAGTGTTGTAGGACCTGGCATAATCTATTTTATACTTTTGCAAGATCCTTCTGACCAGTATGTAAGGAATAGATTGTAGGTGCAGGTGTAGAAACCAAAAGATGAGCTGGAAAATCTTTGCAATGGTCTGGGTGAGAAAGTAGGGTGGTTTGGATGAGGGTGTGTAGATTGAAGTGTGTAACTTATTAGCTTTATGGTGAAGTAATCATCATTTAGCTATCATTTATTAAGCTCTTACTCATTAATGCCCACCACAGTGTTAGGAGGTAGAGATACAGTTATTCACCTCACAGGAGCTTTGGAAAGGCTAAGTAATTTGTCCAAGGCCAGCTCTGTGGCTCCAATGCCAACACCCTTAACCGTTCCCCGACACTGCCGCTCAGTAAACACTAGTGCTGCTGATGGAAGTGTTAGCAAATGAACAAGAGTTAGAGAGGGGTCTATAGCCCACATATACCCCCACACCCAACTGTGAGCTGCCTTCTCTCACTACTATATCCATGTCCACTCCTGATGGCATCTGAGGTCCCCCATACCTACCTGCATGAAGGTGGAGCCCCCTCAGTTTGACAGAAGGTGATTGTGAAGGTATCACTGAGACAGCCACTTTGTAAAGTCCAAACAGCACTAAACTGGATCCTGCGCCCACTCTGTGGCTAACTCAGAGTGAACTGTCACATTACCTCTTGGGGCCTCAGTTTCTCATCTTTAAAATGTGGGGCTTGGACTAGGTACCTCCCATCTTGCATAGATTCTATGCTATGCATCTCCCAGAATTCTATGCTAATCCCTTCATTGTGTCACAGCCTGTCATCTGCTTTTCTTGGGAAGCCATCTACATGTCACTGATATTTGATACTCAGTGAGTATTCTGCCCATCATCTGAATTTAATTCATTTCCTTTAATGAAATCTTTTTCTTGCATTTATCTTCTTTTTCACTAGAATGTAGGAAGTGGTCAATGCTGCTGACTATTTATAGCCAGTTATGACCCTGTTAAAAAAGAACAACAGGACCGCATGGTAGCTAGAAAGAGCTGGAAGTGAAGACCAGCAAGTGAGGGGAAATGTGGGGCTGGTCACTACCTGCCAGGGTCATGACATGCAAGAGGCAGGGTGGCCTAGACAGGTCATAGGATACAGCAACTCACATCTGTTCCCAACACTGTGTCGCCCCTATTCTGCCTCCAGTGAGTTACCACTGTACAGAAACTGTGCTCAAGTAAGACGTAGAAATGCTATTTATTTGCCTCCATGGCCTTTGAACTTGCACATACAAAGAATAGCAGCTCCTGTGTGTTCTTGGCAGTTTTCGAGGATTTTTTTTTTCTCCTTGAATATGTGAGAGCATTCATTATTGTGCAAGGTATTTCACTAGAGAATTCTTGTGCTCTAACTCTTCCTACCTTGATGTGGAATGTTCTTCTGTAGCTATAAAAGCTATTTCAGTTTTTTTCCCAAATGATTTCTGAGAATGTTAAACTTGTGAAATAGACCATGAAGGAATAAATCAATGAAATGTGTTCTGAGGTCAAAAACTTGGGGGAAAGGGCAGTCTCCCCTCCCCAAGAGAATCGCAAGGCACATCCACCTGTTTATGTTGGTTTACACAGGCTTTTCCAGCAGCATTCTGTCACCCACCCCTCCTTCTCTTCCCACCTGCTTGCTAACATTTTGCAGAGCTCTGAGGTTTTGTGGAACAGACTGAGCAATGCAGATTTGTGGTGTGTTTTCTGTTTGTGATGGAATTAACCTTAGCTTGATACCTGGTATAAGACTAAAGTTTTTATAAGATTCAGTTAAATACATATCTTTGCTTTTAACAGTGATAAATTGCATGAAATATTTTACATAACAAAATTTTAAACTCACTCTAAAAGTTTATCTAGATTGGAATATGAAAAAAAAAAGACCTGATTCCTAGACCCTCTAATCTCGTATCTGCTTAGCTCATTAAAAATATTCACA